TAAATCCTTAAAACACCAAGAGATCATATCAATTATTTTACATAAAGTTTATAATACATCATGTATTTGTCTAAAAAGATCCTTCAAAATGTAATAATAAAATAATACTTATTTCTATAAGGAATGTAGTACTAACAAGTCCATCCAATATTAAATGAACGAAAAAATTTCATTAAAATGGCTACAAAAGAAGTAAACATAAAAACTCCTTGTGCATAAATAAAACAATAAAAAGAAACATAACAAAAATAATAAAACAACAAAAGATTTAAGTGAAGAAAAACAATATTAAAGTAAAAGTACAATAATGGACAAAATATACAAAAAACTTTCCAACAAATAAGATTAAGAATTTAGGACACATGTGGCCTTGATGTAAACACAAAATTTTTGTTTAAATTTGTTCTAGTTCTGTTCTAGTTCTGTTCTAGTTCTGTTCTAGTTCTGTTCTAGTTCTGTTCTAGTTCTGTTCTAGTTCTGTTCTAGTTCTGTTCTAGTTCTGTTCTAGTTCTGTTCTAGTTCTGTTCTAGTTCTGTTCTAGTTCTGTTCTAGTTCTGTTCTAGTTCTGTTCTAGTTCTGTTCTAGTTCTGTTCTAGTTCTGTTCTAGTTCTGTTCTAGTTCTGTTCTAGTTCTGTTCTAGTTCTGTTCTAGTTCTGTTCTAGTTCTGTTCTAGTTCTGTTCTAGTTCTGTTCTAGTTCTGTTCTAGTTCTGTTCTAGTTCTGTTCTAGTTCTGTTCTAGTTCTGTTCTAGTTCTGTTCTAGTTCTGTTCTAGTTCTGTTCTAGTTCTGTTCTAGTTCTGTTCTAGTTCTGTTCTAGTTCTGTTCTAGTTCTGTTCTAGTTCTGTTCTAGTTCTGTTCTAGTTCTGTTCTAGTTCTGTTCTAGTTCTGTTCTAGTTCTGTTCTAGTTTTGTTCTAGTTCTGTTCTAGTTCTGTTCTAGTTCTGTTCTAGTTCTGTTCTAGTTCTGTTCTAGTTCTAGTTCTGTTCTAGTTCTGTTCTGGTTCTGTTCTAGTTCTGTTCTAGTTCTGTTCTAGTTCTGTTCTAGTTATGTTCTAATTTTTTTCTAGTTCTGTTCTAGTTCTTTTCTTGTTCAGTTCTAGTTCAGTTCCAGTTCATCTGTGGAATCTCTTTTAGATGCTAGTTCGTATTTCATACAATTGTGAAGAATTTATTTAAATAACTAATTTTAGCTTAAAGATATTTAATTCCTGCTTAATCAGTTTTAAAATTTTCTTATTAAATTTTAACAATTTACAATTTGCTCTTACTCTACTTGTGGTAAAGTTTTTTAATGCTTTTAGGCGCGTGGTTGAATATGTGTAAACAAACATTATCATATGCTTGTTTGTATTGTAAAAAGGGACTTAGTTAGTGAGTATATATTTTTTTCGTCGCCCTTCATCTCAAGAAGGATTTTTCTGTTTACTTTTATATATTTATATATACATGTAAGTATATTTTTTCATGTTTTTGTTATTTTAATAATATGCAGAGCAAATTGTTGTTTCTTCAATGGTTTTGTTATTTTTGTTGAAATATTTTCGACAAAAAAAAAAACAAAAGAGGATATTGGAACACGTGTATATTATGGTGGATTCATTTACATACATTACATTGTATCTAAGGAAAATCTCGAAAAATTTTAAAAATTATTAAGTTAAAAATTTGGTTACCATAAATGATAATTTTTACAAAATTTCCAAAATCTTTCTATTTAAAAACAGTTGAACAATATCGTTAACATATGTCCTCTTTATAATTATAATTACTAGTACCAGTATTGTGTTAATTTAAACTTTTTTATAACTGACAAATATTAAGAGTCACTTGCAAATTACTGTGATACCACAATATTTGCAAATTAATATACTGAAAAAATAATTGAATAAAAAATTATTTTGAATATTTTAAAGGATTATATAAAAAACTACAATAAGTGATATTTTATTATAGAGGCTTCTGATAAAATAAGACATTTTATTATAAAGAGCTTAAATATTCATTAAATATTATGAATTTAATTAAAAGTTTTAAACCAATAAGAATTATGTTTTCTTTTAACTAAACTTATGGATGTATACTTTTACATTTAAGTTACCTATAATCCAACCTAATTATAAATTAATAAACCTTTCCCTCTTCAATTTACGTATGAAGCCTGCTAATTATAGAAAAATAAGTTTTTCAAATAGTAAATATTTTTTCTACTCTGCCTTCTTATATTTGTTTTTAATGTAATGTAAAGGGTAGACTTTTGGATTCTTTGGTCTAAAATTCTTCTGAGCAAAACTTGTCCAAACTATTGAGATGAAATAATTGATAATCAATATCAAAAGTTCTAGAAAACACCCAAAACTGCTGGGAAAGTGGATTGTATGTAAACGTGTGTTTTTGTCTAAATGTCATTATCCTTGAATTGTTTTCTAATACAAATAAACTTGTCAACAGAATGTTATGTTATTGAACTTTGTTGAATATTTTAATTGGGAATGTAAGAAAAGAAAGAAGCCTTGAAATATGCTGTACTATTGCGTGATATTACCTTATAAGTATTTGATATTGAAAAGCATTTTGAAATAAAAATATGGAAAATTTTCAATAAAATTGAATTGGCGAAAGGAGTTTGAGATAAACTTAATTAGATTGCAGTTAAATAACAATGATTAACCCCTAACTAACTTAAATAAATTAACACTAACTAACTAACTAACTAACTAACTACTACTAACTAACTAACTAACTAACTAACTAACTAACTAACTAACTAACTAACTAACTAACTAACTACTAACTAACTAACTAACTAACTACTAACTAACTAACTACTAACTAACTAACTAACTAACTAACTAACTAACTAACTAACTTAACTAACTAACTAACTAACTAACTAACTAACTAACTACTAACTAACTAACTAACTACTAACTAACTAACTAACTAACTAACTAACTAAACTAACTAACTAACTAACTACTAACTAACTAACTAACTAACTAACTAACTAACTAACTAACTACTAACTAACTACTAACTACTAACTAACTAACTAACTAACTAACTAACTACTAACTAACTAACTAACTAACTAACTAACTAACTAACTAACTAACTAACTAACTAACTAACTAACACTAACTAACTAACTAACTAACTAACTAACTACTAACTAACTAACTAACTAACTAACTAACTAACTACTAACTAACTAACTAACTAACTAACTAACTAACTAACTAACTAACTAACTAACTAACTAACTAACTAACTAACTACTAACTAACTAACTAACTAACTAACTATACTAACTACAACTAACTAACTAACTAACTAACTACTAACTAACTAACTAACTAACTAACTAACTAACTAACTAACTAACTAACTAACTAACTAACTAACTAACTAACTAACTAACTAACTAACTAACTAACTAACTAACTAACTAACTAACTAACTAACTAACTAACTAACTAACTAACTAACCTAACTAACTAACTAACTAACTACTAACTAACTAACTAACTAACTACTAACTAACTAACTAACTACCTAACTAACTACTAACTAACTAACTAACTACCTAACTAACTAACTAACTACTAACTAACTAACTAACTAACTAACTAACTAACTAACTAACTAACTAACTAACTAACTAACTAACTAACTAACTAACTAACTAACTAACTACTAACTAACTAACTAACTAACTAACTAACTAACTAACTAACTAACTAACTAACTACTAACTAACTAACTACTAACTAACTAACTAACTAACTAACTAACTAACTAACTAACTAACTAACTAACTAACTAACTAACTAACTAACTAACTAACTAACTAACTAACTAACTAACTAACAATAGTCGCGTTTATAGGACCGTCTAAAATCTAGTTTGTTTTCATTTAAGTTTTACACTACAGGACGTGTGATTAATATTAATTACAAGGTTGGGTCACAAAATACTTATAAAGAACTGTATTTCTTAATAATTACACAGGCCGACCAAAGAATATTAGTCTAAAGGAGTTGGGCCTTTTTGGCCCTTTTTGAGACGTTATGACAGTACCAAGACACCTTCATTTATAAATTATTGTTTGTAGTCTGCAAGTACATTCTGTCAGCTTTAAAATAAACATCTGAGATATCTTCCTTATTTTTCGAGATCTCATCACATAAAGCATGATACAACAATAAATTTGTTTCATACATTTCGCCTATATTTTACGAAAAACTTATATATTGCAATTTTCAAAAAATGTATCCATAAAAATAGTTGCCGAGATATCATCCGTTGAGGTTGACGGATGGACAGACATCGTCAAATATAATAAGAAAGTGTTTTTGAGTCGATTGATACATCCCAAAGGTAGTTCTGGATACAGTATTTTTCGCTCGTTATAAACAATATTTACAAAGAAAATAGCATGAATATACAGAAAGCCATGTGTTTTTTCGGTTTATACATATATCTTGAAAGAAAAGGAAGGTATGTCAGATGTTAAGCCTATGTTTTTAAGCTTACAGAACGGACTTTTATATGATATAGAACATTTTATTAGTAAGGTTGCCTTTATACGATATCTCGAATCTCAGATATGATGGTGAAAATCTGAATCAGATATGGATTCAGCGTTGCTCAATCCTTTGGAAAAGTTAATTGATTTTAGTTTTTAGACTTTTTTCAAATATTGTCCGTTTGTATTATTATCTTACACTAATTAAGTTCTCAGAGTAAAATATTTACATATGCTGGAATCTATCGATCGAACTATAATTGACAAATATTATATTCACTGTGAAATTCAGTATGAATAATATTTAGAATAATATGTAAATCGATATATATGAAAATATTTTTTGTGAATATAAGCAATTCATTCTTAATAATTTAAATAATTTTCTTGTTAAATTCATTGGTAAAACTCTTAAAAAATAAAATAGATATAACAATTCAAATATAAATGGGGAACAAAAAACAGCAGAATACTAAATAATAACAAAAATAATTAAAATAATAAAAACCAAACAGAAATTCATTTATTTCCTAAAAACAATAAAACATTTCAAGAAAAACCATCAGACCAACATGACAGAAAACAAGGATAAAATTAGTGACAAGGATAAAGAAAAGAAAAATGAACCTGAAATGGAAAAGGAACAGGAAAAACAGTCACAGCAGCAACAACTTCAAACACAAACCACACAAAAAGAGCAGCAACACAAAACAGAACAACATGACAGGTAAGTTGTTTAATTTCAGTTCAAAAAATTTTTAAATTTAAAAAAATAACTTGGACAACTTGTGTAAATAATTGTTATAAGTACCAAGAAAAATACAAAATCTTGTTAAAAAGTATTTGTATAAAAATTAATCATCTCTACAAGAAATTATGTAAATTTAACATATTGTACTACAAGACGTATGATTGTTATTTTAAACAATTGTATATAACGTATACGTACCACTAAACAGAAATTTTAATTAAATGTATTAATAGTGTGAAGATTATTTTGTAAGCAAACCACGACATTTGCATTTCAATTATGAATTGTATACAAAACATACAACTATAAAAACTTCATTCAAAATACATCAAGTTATTCAACCATGATTATACAATTTATTAATTATATCCTGTGTGAACTAACTACATAATATATTACATGACATAATGACAGTTTAACAACCACAAATTAATCTATAATTAGTAACGTACACATTCCGGCTTTTTGTTTTTCTTTCTTTACAATTTTGTCTTAAATTTCACACTAAAAGCCACCAAATACGCAAACATATTTTCAGGGTTTCCATTTAATAATTTTTGGTCATATGTTTTTTCTATAAAAATCCACTTTATATTCTCAAACATTTCTAAAATTTTACTTTAGATTGTCTCAACAGGATTTTATGCTTTAAATTAAACTTGTCCCTATAAATATGCATGATTATTTGTTGTCTATGTCTGAGTCCTTTAATAATATGTTGTTATGTCTGCTATACAAATCTAATGGCAACAACACATTTGCTGACAGAAAATCATTTGTTAACATCTCTAAGCAATATTTTGAAGCAACAAGTTGGTACAAACAATAAATGAAAAAAATAAAAATTAAAATAAGGCAGAAAATTATAGTCAGAGTCTAGTAAGAGTCTAGTCATAGTCTAGTCATAGTCTAGCCATAGTCTAGTCATAGTCTAGTCATAGTCTAGTCATAGTCTAGTCATAGTCTAGTCATAGTCTAGTCATAGTCATATCTAGTCATAGTCTAGTCATAGTCTAGTCATAGTCTAGTCATAGTCTAGTCATAGTCAGTATCATAGTCTAGTCATAGTCTAGTCATAGTCTAGTCATAGTCTAGTCATAGTCTAGTCATAGTCTAGTCATAGTCTAGTCATAGTCTAGTCATAGTCTAGTCATAGTCTAGTCATAGTCTAGTCATAGTCTAGTCATAGTCTAGTCATAGTCTAGTCATATTCTAGTCATAGTCTAGTCATAGTCTAGTCATAGTCTAGTCATAGTCCTAGTCATAGTCTAGTTCATAGTCTAGTCATAGTCTAGTCATAGTCTAGCATAGTCTAGTCCATAGTCTAGTCATAGTCTAGTCATAGTCTAGTCATAGTCTAGTCATAGTCTAGTCATAGTCCTAGTCCATAGTCTAGTCATAGTCTAGTCATAGTCTAGTCATAGTCTAGTCATTAGTCTAGTCATTAGTCTAGTCATAGTCTAGTCATAGTCTAGTCATAGTCTAGTCATAGTCTAGTCATAGTCTAGTCATAGTCGAGTCATAGTCTAGTCATAGTCTAGTCATAGTCTAGTCATTAGTCTAGTCATAGTCTAGTCATAGCCTAGTCATAGTCTAGTCATAGTCTAGTCATAGTCTAGTCATAGTCTAGTCATAGTCTAGTCATAGTCTAGTCATAGTCCTAGTCATAGTCTAGTCTGTCTAGTCATAGTCTGTCATAGTCTAGTCATAGTCTAGTCATGGTCGAGTCATAGTCTAGTCATAGTCTAGTCATGGTCTAGTCATAGTCTAGTCATAGTCTAGTCATAGTCTAGTCATAGTCTAGTCATAGTCTAGTCATAGTCTAGTCATAGTCTAGTCTATAGTCATAGTCCAACCCCATTTTGTGTATAGTTTATTAGAACTAAAACATTTAAACAAGCTATTCTTATCAGCATTGCATCTTATTTTCCGGTTTCTACATAACAAATGACGTCAATGACATACATTTTTTTACCAAACGCCAAGCATACATTGGAAGTCTACGAATGAATGTGCTGTCATATGAAGTCATAAATTTTGTGTCCGTATATTCCTTTAAAGTTATGAAGCTCGTGATTTCTGTTTGCGTGTATTACGTTGGAACAGGGAAATGTGTACTATATTTTACGATTTCCAAAAGTTAAACATCTTTGGTAAAACAGAAATCACGATCTGAAACATGCTCCAAAAAGATGCTATAAAATATGTATAAAACGTGCTGCACGATTTAAAGGTTTTACTTTGGTACAAAAATGCGTACATGTAAACAGAAATCTGTAAAACATAACACGAAAAAAATTTTTTTTTGTGTTTTATATTGGAAATAAGGTGGCACGTTTTAATTTTTGAAATGACGGATATTAAGTTTGTAAACTCCTACTCCACTTATCTGAAATTGTTCTCGCTGTTTTTAAATAATGTCTTAATATCACCTTAAAATGTTTGTTATTTTATTTCTTATGGAACAATTTATTTTAATTGGTGTTTTTAGCCCATATTTTAGTCAACAAGTCAACATATTTAAGTTATTATATCGCAATTAAACTTCACAGTCTCTATCTTATTATATTTAATAACGAAGTTCCTAATACATCATCATCAACCTTGATGCTTTAAACTAAAATTGTGTATATTGCTTAACGATTTCGTAAGAGTTAGAAATTGTTTATTATTACAAAATTAAAACACATACTAGGCAATAATTCAATTTGTGAATTCACCAGAACCATGTTAAAGTTAAGAAAACACACTTAAACAACGATTTTAAATCTTATTTCAAATGAGGGCAAAACATAATTTGTAATGCATTGAATTTAAAAGTATGTGTGATATTTAATTATTCATAGCACTCATACGCCCAGTTAATATAGTACATAATTTTAAATGCTTTAAATTATACTAGTCTATGACTAGACGATGACTAGACTAGACTAGACCTATGACTAGACTATGACTAGACTATGACTAGACTATGACTAGACTATAGACTAGACTATGACTAGACTATGACTAGACTATGGACTAGACTATGACTAGACTATGACTAGACTATGACTAGACTATGACTAGACTATGACTAGCTATGACTAGACTATGACTAGACTATGACTAGACTATGACTAGACTATGACTAGACTATGACTAGACTATGACTAGACTATGACTATAGACTATGACTAGACTATGACTAGACTATGACTAGACTATGACTAGACTATGACTAGACTATGACTAGACTATGACTAGACTATGACTAGACTATGACCAGACTATGACTAGACTATGACTAGACATGATAACTATGACTAGACTATGACTAGACTATGACTAGACTATGACTACTATGACTAGACTATGACTAGACTATGACTAGACTATGACTAGACTATGACTAGACTATGACTAGACTATGACTAGACTATGACTAGACTATGACTAGACTATGACTAGACTATGACTAGACTATGACTAGACTATGACTAGACTATGACTAGACTATGACTAGACTATGACTAGACTATGACTAGACTATGACTAGACTATGACTAGACTATGACTATACTATGACTAGACTATGACTAGACTATGACTAGACTATGACTAGACTATGACTAGACTATGACTAGACTATGACTAGACTATGACTAGACTATGACTAGACTATGACTAGACTATGACTAGACTATGACTAGACTATGACTAGACTATGACTAGACTATGACTAGACTATGACTAGACTATGACTAGACTATGACTAGACTATGACTAGACTATGACTAGACTATGACTAGACTATGACTAGACTATGACTAGACTATGACTATGACTATGACTATGACTTGACTATGACTAAACTATGACTAGACTATGACTAGACTATGACTAGACTATGACTAGACTATAACTAGACTATGACTAGACTGTAAACTAGACTGTAGACTAGACTGTAGACTAGACTATAGGCTAGACTATAGACTAGACTGTAGACTAGACTGTATAGACTATAGACTAGACTGTAGACTAGACTGTAGACTAGACTGTAGACTAGACTATAGGCTAGATATGCTAATTTGTATAATTTTGTATGTGTCCCTTAAGAATACGATGTTATGTCTGCCTTACAAATAACAATGACTCGAAAACATTCTTTTTTTCTAGAAGAAAAAATGTCATTTATTAAATTTTAACCTTTAAATATTTGTAATTTTACATCCCAAAAGTTAGTTAGTTTAAAAGGATGTACGATACATCAAATCCCAAGAGATACACCTAGGTCTTTACCAGTATCTTTGTTGGGATTCGAACCCACAATCTCCAGTCTGACAGCAAAGTAAACTAATTACTAATCTAAAGGAGGCCCACTATTTGTCAGATGAATGTTTGACTTACACCCACAACGTTTTAATTTCCTAACCTGTACTTCAATTGGACATGTGTACTATTCAGATTTGTATTTTTTAAAACACTAGAAATTATCTACGCAGTTAAAGGAAGACGCTTTAAAAAGTTCTAAAATGGATTTTAAAAAGTTCTAAAAAGTAGATTTTATGTGCTTTTAAGAGGATTTATTTAAATGATTATGACTTAATACCACCAGGTTATCTTTATATTGTTTGCCCAAAGACTTTAAATATTTACATGATATTTATAAAAAAGTGGCTGAAGAGTCTTTTAAGAGAAAATTATTAAAAATAAATATTTTTACAGGGAAGATAATGCCAAATGTAAATAAAAATAATAAAATTTTAAATATGTATTTAATAAGAACCAACTTTGTAATCCTGTAAAAAATTACAAAATACCAGAAAGATTTTAAGAAAATATACTTTGGTAAATAATTTTATTTGTTGTTCTTAAAAGTCTTAACAAAAACTCTAAACTAATTTGCAACTGTTTGTAAACAGATGTTTGGACTCTTTTATATATTTATAATGTCATATTCTGCTGTTTCCTGTTTACAGCACGACAATTTTTAGATATTGATTACTTGGCTTTCAAATACTTGGCAAACCAGAAAAAATAAAAGAAACTGAATAGTCAAAGAGGACAACTAGTTGTTTGAACAACTCCAACCAATTTATTTACAGGCAATTATCAACAAGACCACATATGGGAAAGCAAATAGTCTTGTTACTAACAGAAGGTTAAATAGTTTTTATTTAAAGGTTTCCGAGGAAACATGACATAAAGAAGAATGATTTTGCAGCATTTAGGAAATCTTTTTTTACAGTTTTACAAAATTAGTTCCAAAATAGAAATATTTTCCTTGCAACAAGTTCATGAGTTTGTTGGATATAAAAGTTGTCAAAAAATTTCCTAAAATCTCTAACATTGTGTTTTCAAACTTATATTGATGAAGAAATAATTAAAATTCATAAGAAAACCATATAATTTTTACTTTCCTAAACTTCGCTTACAAAATCTTTGAAATTTTCTTTAAAAATATTGTATTTAAAATGTTTGTCCAACTAAACATATGATTGATATTAAGAGGAAGACATACAAATTACTCCATAACTTCGAAACTAATGATGGTATTTGAAAAATTGAAAAAGCTGTAGAAAGCTAAGACTATAAGCAGTAACAGTAATGAGAAAAATTTTACAACTTAAATCTTCTTTTACATTTTGAGCCTATGTAAACCTCAGTTTATTTATTCAAGATTTCTAAAATGTCACAATTTTTTAAATTTATTAAGAAAATGTTCAATCTTTTAGCATTTATAGTTAAACAATGTTAATTTTACTTTACTTTCTATAATTTACAAATAAACTTTTGACTAAAACTCCTTACTTTTTCAAAGATAAATCTTAATTTAAAATGTCTGCCCTACAAGGCGTATGATTAATATCATTTGCAGGGTTTTGGCATAAAATGCTATATAGCAGCAGAACTATACAAGCGATTGGCAAAATTTAAAAACACGTAGTAAGCTAAAACCATAATAAATTTATTTGTAAATAATAAAACACCAAAATATTATTAAGTATTTCAATACTCCTTTAAATACCTGTAAATAACTAACCAACCATCAACTTTACTTTAAAAGACAAGTAAAGCTTTTAATATTTAATAACAAACTTCTAATAGTAATATATTTATTTACTTCTTAAAAAACATATTTGTGGTTTATTTTCTGAATAAAATTTATAATTAAATATTTATGAAAATTCCCCACCAACCAACTTCATACACCCAGCTTAACATCAAACAAAATTGATGATTAAATTTTAAGCAAGACATGCTCAAATAATTACTCAACAATATCTAAAAAAAATTAGCTTTCAGCTACAATTATTTCCTTTCTCTCTTTATTCTCCCACAAAAAAACAACAAAAACCTTTTTCCCTTCATTGCCCCCGCAGTCGTTGCAAGAGATTATCACAATTTTTGGATTTCCCTAATATACCACGTTATCATAGTGGTCACAGCGGCAGTAGCAGTAGCAGCAATAATTCCCAACAACATTCTCCACAAACACCAACACCGGCCGAGAGGAAAGGCAGTAATGATGGTGGTGGCATTGAACAGGAACACCAACAACATCATTTGCAACATGGCTCTAGAAAACGTTCATCATGTGTCAGTTTTCGTAGTGAAATACTCTGGTTGGATTTGGTAAATGGAGAAATCAATGAGTTCAATGAAAGGTACACTGAGAGAAATGAAGAGGAGGGAATTTGGTAAAAGTTCAATCAAACTGATTTAACAGAAAGTTGGAAATATTTATTCAAAAATTAAATGAAATCAAACTACTATATAAGCCACTAATTTGGTCCTACCTTGATTACTATCTAAGGTCTTTATATAAGCACAGTTTGACTCCAGTTATACTAAGTAGGATTAAAGGAGGGTCATTATACAATCTCAGTCAATAGAGGGTCACAACATAGTCCCTGTTAAGCTTTTTAAAATGTTTGTAATAAAGTCTTAGTATAGGTAAAAATACTGTCCATTAGAAGCTTATTATATAGTCCCACTTATTCTTCTATAGAAGCTCATTATACTGTTCCAAATTAGCTTTTATATAAGCTCATTTCATGGTCCCAGTTCAGCTTCTATAGAAGCTCATTATATAGTCCTAGTTTTGCTTCTATAGAAGCTCAATATATAGTACAAACTTAGATTTTATAGAAGTTTATTATATGGTGCCAAACTAGCTTTTATAGAAGCTCATTATATAGTCCCAGTTTAGCTTTTATAGAAACTCATTTCGTGGTCCAAGTTCAGCTTCTGCAGAAGCCCATTATATAGTCCCACTTTATCTTCTATAGAAGCTCATTATACAGTCCTAGTTTAGCTTCTATAGAAGCTCATTATATAGTCCCAATTTACCTTCTCTAGAAGCTCATTATATAGACCTAGTTTAGCCTCTACAGAAGCTCATTATATAGTCCCAGGTTATCTTCTATAGATGCTCATTATTTAGTCCCACTTTATCTTCTCTAGAAGCTCATTATATAGTCCTAGTTTAGCCTCTACAGAAGCTCATTATATAGTCCCAGTTTATCGTCTATAGAAGCTCATTATTTAGTCCCACTTTATCTTCTCTAGAAGCTCATTATATAGCCTAAGTTTAGCTTCTATAAAAGCTCATTATATAGTCCTAGTTTAGCTTTTATAGAAGCTCATAATATAGTCCCAAATTAGCTTTTATAGAAGCTCATTTTATAGTCCTAGTTTTGCTTCTAAAGAAGCTTATTATATAGTTCCAGTTTATCTTCTCTAGAAGCTCATTATATAGCACCAGTTTAGCTTTTATAGAAGCTCATTATATAGTCCCACTTTATCTTCTCTAGAAGTTCATTATATAGCCCTAATAGTTTAGTTTTTATAGAAAATCATTATATAGTCCCACTTTATCTTCTATAGAAGATCATTATATAGTCCCAGTTTAGCTTTTATAGAAGCTCATTTCTTGGTCCCAGTTCAACTTCTATAGAAGCTCATTATATAGTCCCACTTTATCTTTTATAGAAGCTCATTATACAGTCATAGTTTAGCTTCTACAGCCCTACTTTATCTTCTATAGATGCTGATTATACAGTCATAGTTTAGATTCTCTAGAAGCTCATCATATAGTGCCAGTTTATCTTCTATAGAAGCTCATAATATAGTCCTAGTTATGCTCCTATAGAAGCTCATTATATAGTCCCAGATTAACTTCTTTAGAAGCTCATTATATAGTCCCAGTTTAGCTTCTACAGAAACTCATTTCATAGTCCCAGTTTGGGTTTTACAGAAGCTCGTTATATAGTCCCAGAGTAGATTCTATAGAAGCACACTATATAGCCCCAAATAAGCTACTGTAAAGGCCCATTGTATAGCCCCAGTTTGGCTTCTATAGCTCCAGTTTATCTTCAGTTTTAACATATTCTATTTTCCATAAATATTGTTATCATAAAGTCTTGTTAAATTTAAATTTCCTAAAATGTTTTAACAATACACGTTGACATAAATTCCGCATTTTTAGTACAAAAGTCTTTTTAAACTCATTAATTCGTTTAACCTTCAGCTGTATCCTTGAACTTTTTATTCCTAGTTGTAGAATTTTGAATATACGTTTTCTACTCTTGTTTTGTTTTTTTGGCAGAAATATGTATTTCTGTAGTGATTCTGTATACGGCATCCAAGAGAAAAAGTTTTGAAAAAATACTAAATATTTATGCAAATACTTCGAACATTGATTGATTTCGAAATAAAACACACAAAAAATACATACACATAAGCATATTGGTTGAAACACTTTTAATAGAAAAATTATTTCTATTTTAAAACAGCAGGAATTACTTTAAAAAAATCAATATATATATTACATTTTGATAATCCTTTCAAATATCCTTCCTAATACAAATGGAAAAATTTCTACTATTAAATGTTTTTAATCTAACTAACAGGGAAGTTTTATCTCAACATGTGATTATAACGGCTTATGTGTCCTTTTAGTAAGCATTACTTTCCTTTAACAATTTGAAAATTATCTATGACATCCTGCTATTTTCATCCATATTTCAGTCACTTTAACAATTTTATATTTTGCTCAGAAAAATTTAATTAACAAAAATTTTCCACATAAATTTTCTGCTATTTTCCAGCAAAAATGTCTAACATTTTTGTTGGTTTTGTTTTATTTTTGCAACACTTTAGGGCCACTGAATGCATCAATCAGGACACTAAATATACAAAAGCAGATTATGGTGATGAAATCATAAAATGCATTTTGGTACATGATGGATGGTTTCATGTTAAGGTGGGTGTTTAAAATGTAAAAGTGAAAAACATGTCAAAAATTATGAATTTGAAAGGATAATGATAAAATATCCTTTTTAACACAATTTACTTTATAAGATCCAACCAGACTACAAATACCTTAACTTTGTTTGCAGTCTTTACATAGCATTGTTAAGATTTCTTTTTAATTCCAACCTTTTTATCACTTTTAGATGTCTGACCCATAAAGATGATTATGGCACTCAACGTGTTTATAAGAAAACATCACCGAATTGTGTTTTAACTTTGTATTTACCTACACGTGAAATTACCTTGTCTGGCAATAGTTCCTCCATCCTACAAGGTATTGTGTTTGTTGATCCCAAGGCCATACAAGGATATCGGGTTTATGCACAATTGACCTTAACGTTTCGGTAAGTAAAAGCCAAATTTTTTTAAGAATACAGTTTAAGTATGACTAGACCATGTCCAGAATATGAATTGACTATGTCTAGATTATGACTAGACTATGACTAGACTATGACTAGACTATGTCTAGACTATGACTAGACTATGACTAGACTATGCTAGACAGACTAGACTATGACTAGACTATGACTAGACTATGACTAGACTATGACTAGACTATGACTAGACTATGAACTAGACTATATGACTAGACTATGACTAGACTATGACTAGACTATGACTAGACTATGACTAGACTATGACTAGACTATGACTAGACTATGACTAGACTATGACTAGACTATGACTAGACTATGACTAGACTATGACTAGACTATGACTAGACTATGACTAGACTATGACTAGACTATGACTAGACTATGACTAGACTATGACTAGACTATGACTAGACTATGACTAGACTATGACTAGACTAGACTATGACTAGACTATGACTAGACTATGACTAGACTATGACTAGACTATGACTAGACTATGACTAGACTATGACTAGACTATGACTAGACTATGACTAGACTATGACTAGACTATGACTAGACTATGACTAGACTATGACTAGACTATGACTAGACTATGACTAGACTATGACTAGACTATGACTAGACTATGACTAGACTATGACTAGACTATGACTAGACTATGACTAGACTATGACTAGACTATGACTAGACTATGACTAGACTATGACTAGACTATAGACTTTACTAGACTATGACTAGACTATGACTAGACTATGATTAGACTATGACTAGACTATGACTAGACTATGACTAGACTATGACTAGACTATGACTAGACTATGACTACACTAAGACTAGAGTATGACTTGACTCGCCACATTACCAACAGGATATAGTATTAATCCAGTTAAAATTTACTTCTTTAGGAAAAATTAAATTCTATTTTCTTTTTATCGATTCTATTACAGGACACAAATACCAGATGTACCCTTCACATACCGGAACACGACTTATTGGGAAGTGTGAGACAATAGTTCCAGATAGGCGATCCTAATCAAGCGAAACATTAGACCAATCTGGTCATATGGTAATCTGTTATTACTCGAATGGCTATATAGGAAGACAAAATGGATATAAAGATATGCGTTGAAAAGAAAAGTCCATTACATATTTTTCTACATCTATAATGCATTAAGGATGATATCAACTAATAGTTTAAATCGAAGAGCTTATTGGATTGTTGGAAAGCCACAAGCGGATACCCTTACAGATTTGGTAGAAATAAATATTTATGATGAGAGAATACCAAGTAGCCACAAGAATAATGGAACAGTAGTTGAGCACACTAAATTCCTATGAAGCGGCTACAACGATAACAGTAGGAGAAGTCTCCTCATAATGAATAAATCCATGGTTAGTATGAGTATAGTTATTCTTAATGGAAACATAGGTTTAGGAACAAATGAAGTTTGCATGATAATATTTTGAAATTTGTTGAGAAAATGTTTCAGTTAAGCAGAAATGTTTTTCTTTCTTCAATTTTTACATTAATAAAATGTTTAATTTAACACTATTTTAACCTAACTATTAAGCTTTAAAAAAATATTTTATCTATTGCATAATTTTGGGAGTTAAAATTTAATAGTTTCAAATTATATAAATTTTTCTCAAATATTTTATCTGCTTTTTTATATAAAACGTAGACAAATCCATATCGTATATAAAAACAAATATTCAAATACATATTCACAAAAACATATGTATAAAACAGTTTGGCATAATTTGAGGCAACTAAATATTGTTTGACCTAGCAAACTTTGAGCTCTCCAGAGGTCATATTTGAGGAGTTATACATTTGTGTTTTGACCATATGGCCATATCTGTTTAAATGTATGAACAATGAAATAGTAATTTTATGTGCTATGGATGAGTTAAGGCCACACCAAATGCGAACAAAAGAAAAATGAAATATTGACAATATGGCTAAAAGAAAAACGAAAATATTAAACAATAAAAAGATTAAAATTTTAAATATAAATACAAATATTACTACTATGTTTGAAGAAAATCGCAAACTTTTTAATTCTTTAACAAATTTGTTATATCATAATGTTAAATGGACACTAAAGTTATACTTGTATTATTTCTATTCTATTTTAAGGCAAGAAACAGATGTCTACATATGAGGAAAGAGAAACTGTAGAGCGTCAAAAGCAAACCCTCGTGAAGTACATATGCAAAGCTACTAAGAAGTGATCCTAAACTGAAGTTGGAAACCTCCATATGACTAAAAACAAATGATAAAATAATAAATAAACTATAATTAAATGTCAAGATAATTTTTTTTAAATGAGTTGCATAATTTTGTTTGGTAGGTCTCTTACTCTAAAAATGTATTTATATCATTGATATAGAACTGCTAGTCTGGTTAGCACCAATTTCGTCAGGTTCTAAACTGCTCGCTAGGCATACTTTCATACAGTTTTATAAGTTTAGTTCATCATTTCATAAATAATATATGTAATATTAAATCTGAATATTCAGGCGGCCAATAAACATGTGATTTTC